TCTCTGACCCTTATTCAGAAATAGAAGCCAGAACCCCACATGAACGACTCACCACCTCAAAGTTGTCAGAATGGCCTTGGTTATGCCAGAGGAAATAGATACAGCCTTGGAAAATCAAGGACCTACTAACTGTAGAAAGATAAGTATAAAAAAGAGAGACCAACAAATCTTAACACATATCTTAACATATAATAAAACCATCTATCCCAAAATAAATAAAATTGGTTTCATGATTGAGGATCTAGAACAGTAGATCCCCAATCCCTTAAGGTGTTTCGAGTGTCAGAAATATGACCATCACCAGAGGAGTTGCAAGGCCTCTGATCAGGAGGTTTTGAGGAGCGTGAAACCACCTTTTAATTGCTGGTGTTCTCAGGTTTGCCCTGACCCGGGGTGATAGCATCTGTTAGGGTCCCAGCTATGGGTAAATAGTTAAACTGGGGTCAAAATACTATGAAATTGTAAAAATAGGTTTTAATACCAAAAATACTTTGTAAAAAAGAAAATTATTACCATCAATAAATTTTTGGAAAAAAAAAATATTACCAGCGATACATTTCGAAGAAAAAATATTACCAGAAATAGATTTTTGAAGGAAAAAATATTACCAACAATAAAAACTTTGTCGGCTTTAAATAACCCATTGGGGTTGATATGCCGTAAAACAAAACAAACCAGGCGAGTTGCAGAGGACACCCAGTATGTGCAAATATGGTCAGCAAGACCCAGATCACACGAGGAAGAGTGTACTCAATATTAAATGCACTGTCAGGAAAACAATCCGAGCTTTGTGGGATGATTGGCCAAAGTGCCAAGAATTGCTAAAAAGAAAAATGCACGCCTGAAAACTATCGAACAGAAATGGTGAAATTGCAAAAGTTCATTTCAAACCCATATTCTATGGCTCAGGTGTACCTGTACAAATCCCAATCTCCACCTCAAGTAAACACCAATAGACAAAAATTTCAATGATCACCATTCTGTCTAATGCTGGCGAAATTACTATGCAGGCTGGATTCACTATCGAACCATAAAGAGATAGTGTAATGTTGGATCCAAAGCCACATAGGAATTAAAGGGAATGACCAAGTAGATTCGGTAGCAAAGTTTGACCAGAATTAAACCTTTGATAATACTTTTAGGATTCCTTATGCGGACTTGAAAAGCGACGTATAAAATTTCATTAATCAGAAGATATGGACCAACAACGAAAATAAACTTCATACAATGAATTCGGTTTTGGGTGAATAGAGGCATGTGTCTTGGAAAAAAGGCTGAAGTAATGTTGACTCGGCTTCACATAGGCCAGATATACCTCAACTATTCATAAATGCTCATCCAGGAAGAGCAAACAATCTGCCAATCCGCACTCATGTTGAAACCCGTCCTGGGTAAGACGATAAACTAAATCCGACAGCCAGGCCTCTGATCAGGAGGTTTTGAGGAACATGAGACCACCTCTTAATTAATGGTGTTCCGAAGTCCACTCTGATCTAGGGTGGTAGCACCTGTTAGACTCCCAGCTATGGGTAAATAGTTAACCCTGAAACCGGGGTCAAAACACTATGAAAGTGTAAAATTAGGTTTTAATACCAGAAATACTTTGTAAAAAATTATTACTAGTTGGCATTAAATAAACCAGTGAGGTCGGTATGCCGTAAACCAAACCAAACCAAACCAAACCAAACCGGAACAGCTAAAAAAAAAAAAAAATGGCGTGACAAAACTGTTCTCGAAGTTTTATGCCGCTATGTCATACACAAAATTATATATACACTTGTGTATATATATATATATATACACGTGTCTCACGGAGAAAACTATAACATATATATATACACAACAAGCAGAATGAAAGGAAAGCGAAAAGATAAGGTCTTACATATAATACGGAGATTCTTATGCGTTTCTGGAAAAAAACATATTCCCAAAGGGGAACGGCGCCATGTGTTTGTAACCTATGGCAGCGGGTTGACTGCGCAGTGCAGGAAGAACAACTTGTGTGTTTTGTCTCCAGGAAATTGGCTGCCACTTTTGTCACTGTATGATGTAACGTCACTAAACGGCCATCACGTGATTTCCTCTCTGAAGCATGATAATCGACTTTTGTAGCCCTACACCGTGAACATACTATACTATCTTAAAGATATAGGTTTATATCAAAACATAACATCTCTAACGTAATAAACCCTGCCTGTTGCAGCTCTGTCCTGTCTCTCCGGTGGTTCTGGCCGAAAAGTAAACCACCCGGTCCTCTCCCGGTGAACAGAAGGAACTACCACTATCCGCCACGTTGTGAATTTTTGATCCGAACAGCAGTATTTCGATCCCTCAAAACGATCCGGAGGTAGGATGAATTAAATGGCTGGGTATTACGCTGAAAGGAACTCACTATTCATGCAAAAAAGTTTCTTGTCGTAGCCGCAAAGACATGAAAAAGAAAAATAAGCAACTCTTTTGGTTCCTGTACAAAGCGCCCTTTTTGGGCCACTGTTTCTATGTCATTACCGAAGAATTTACACGAGTACAAAATGTCGTAACGAGGTTCACTCGTTTGGGGTCGGAAGTGACAGAGAGTAGGAAATTTTCTGCCTAGACAATTTCGGCTGATCTAAGGGAAGTAATTTGTGGATCTTCGTCTGCACCCTACGATATAGCAGTCTGCTTTCTCACAGCATTGTTGACAAAGTTATCTGGATTCATACGAGTTCTATTTCTATCTCTTGGTTCGGATCGGTCTTCTTGACGCAGGACAACCAACAGACCAAACCAGCAAATTTCAACAAGCCGTCTCTTCCGCGTTCTGCCGCGTTCCGATCTGCGATCAGAGTAACTCAAGCGTGCGGGCAGCTTATATAGAGAGAGGCGGAGCTAAACCATCTTTAGGCGCCACCCCCGAATTTTAATATGCAAATCGCCTTTGACCACCATGCAAGCTGTTCCAGTCCCCGAAACTCAGCGGGAATCCAGTTTTCAAGAGATACTAAAATTGGATTCGGACCTCCTGCTGGGTTTTTCGCAGCCAACGCCTACTTAAGTTTTGGCAAATCCACTTATCCCCTCTGGTTGAATTCCGCCATTCAGACCACCCAAAAGTCCAATTCGCCATTTATCACAAACTTTACTTTAACGAATCCGTCTCTTAATCACTCTTGAATTATTACATGTAATTAACTAATAACTCAACCCCAGAAACAATTATTAAGAGAAAAAAAAATAAACTTATTCCTGGAATTACTCCGGAATCCCTTCTACCCAAGTAATTAGCACCTTCATCCTAATTCTTTAGCACTGTTGATTACTAAATCCACCTCCGGGTGGGGGTCTCTCTCTCTCTCTCTCTCTCTCTCTCTCACACACACACATCTACAATAGATCATCTACAAACTGTATATCTATAAAGCACACATTTGCCTTGAAAGTATAAAATTATGTAGAAAATATATTTAGTTGAAGGCATAAAAATGCGTTCGAAATATTTTGGTTCCGACATTAAATAACGACCCATATGGCGCCAAAATCAACCAAACCAAATCACCGGCAGAGAATTTTAGGAATTTGTGCGCATATAGAAGAAATAAAGTTTTGCCTAATCTGTATTTTCTGGAATAACTTTTTCTTCAATGCAAATTTTAAGAAAAATGCAGGAATGTGTGGATATTCAAGGGCGGTACTGTGAAAAATATTCTAAGAGCCACTATTGAATATTCGCACATTGCTGCAGAACAGAAAAAAAAACTTCCTTTGCATTAAGAAATGTATTCCTCAAAGTTCACATAGGTTACTCAAAACTTCACATATAAAAGAAATATTCGTCCTGGGTATGACGATAACTACATCCGCATCCAGGGTAACACGATAAACTACGTCCAGCAGCAAGGCTTCTGATCAGCAGGCTTTGAGGATCGTGGAACCACCTCTTAATTGCTGGTGTTCCCAGGTCCACCCTGACCCGAGGTGATAGCACGTGTTAGGGTCCCAGCTGTGGGCAAATAGTTAACCCCGAAACTGAGGTAAAAAGCATTATGAAAGTGTAAAAATAGGTTTTCATACCAGAAACACTTTGTAAGAAAATTATTACCAGAAATAATTTTTTAAAAAACTATTACCAGCAATACGTTTTTTGAAAATAATATTACCAGCTATACAATTTTGAAGAAAAAAATATTACCAGAAATAGATTTTTGACAAAACAAAAATATTATCATGAAAAAAAACGTTGTCGGCATTAAATGACCCAATGAGGTTGATATGCCATAAAACAAATCAAACCAAATAGAGGAAATATGTGCACGATTTCCACAAATCATCTGCTGGTGAATTGGAATCAAAATAATTCTTTTTTGATAAACCTCAGATTTGTGTTTTTTGTTTGTTTTTTGTTTTTGTTTTTTTTTTAATCTAAATTTTATTTATTTGATAACCAATCTGGTAACTGTTTGAAGTGACTTAGATACTGAATGTTAGTTACTGTTAGTGTTAGGATTTTACACTACCATAGCAAAACTTGCAGTGGAGTTGTGATGGACTTTGCTCAAATGTCAAGTTGTATACTCACTCAGATTTCCATGAAAAAAAAAGCACGAAACAGTATCTTTTGAACAGTATAACTTTGAACTCGATCCCATAATTACAAGACAAAATGTATTTTTACGTTGAGCTCTGCTGTTCAACATGTCCTATGAATAAAGAGAGAAGCAAATAATTAAATGTAAGTAAATCATTACACTAGCGGCCTAGAATGTTTACCTATAAAACTGTGAGGGAAAAAAAGAAACAGGTTGAAATGGATTTATTCTTTGTATGAGTCAATGAGACTTCCACTCGTTTGTGCCACACCTGTGTTACTGACTGCTGACAGAAACGAGGCTGGGAAATAAACATTTCACTCGATCTCTTCCGCTTTATAGGCGGGTACAGCACAAGTTTAAACGGGTGGATGACGATTTTAACTAGCAAAGAAACAATCGGAGACTTATTTCACCTTATAAGAAATAACGATGACTTCGAGACACAGCAGTTCTGATGAATTTTCTATTTCGACACTTCCCAGCAAGACAAACTATCGCAACAGAGTTGAGTCGTTAACTCATTATTTGTACGACCGTAACCAAGGAACAGTTTTAGGGTGTACTCCCCTGAGAATATGTAAACTCTTTTGTTTTTACTTTGTATTTTATTTGGCTCTGATCCTTTTCACAGTCATCCTTGGAGGGGTCTTTTACCAGATTCTTGATTGGAATATACCTACGGTAATTGGGCCTGATAGCATTTTGAATGGCAACCCGGGTTTAGCCTTCAGACCTCAGCCGAATTATCTACGTACTTTTATCCACTACAAGAAGGGTGACGGACCCTCTACGCGGCCCTATATTGACAATATTGAATCTCTTATTCAATTTTATGAAAATGAGAATCAACAGGTAAGGATGTTTCTCTTGAATGTCATTTATTTATACAATACAGATCAATTTAAAATACTTAATGGCTCTTGTAACTTTAACAAATGCTTGCATTGTTATCTGAAAACGATAATCAAAAAAAAAAATTTTAAATGAAAACTTGATGCCTCAAGGTGAGACAACTGAAATTTTGTTTTTAGCTTGTGGTAAAAATCCTTTTTCCTTTCATTCTAAAATTGGGGCATTTAACTTTATTTTAATACTAGCTTATCACTAGTTTAATTTAGCATTTTTTTTAAAGTTTCAACGGAGTGAATTTCTGTAGAAGCTAACTATTTAAAACTTGAAATAACAACCTATTTTTAAAGCCAGGTGACACAGCACTGACTTTCGACCATTACAAATATAAAAATAGGTCAGTGTGTTTAACAGACTAAATCATTGCCTACATAAAGTAAAACTTGTAATATTGTAATGTGTAAATCTATATTTCGTTCTATTATTTATTAAGTGTTGTAAATATTGCAACATTTGATCTTCTTTAGCACAAAATTGCACTTTTTCTTGCTTTAACACAAAGCAATATGCGTGTTTCAACACATTTGTTTATTTTTGCAAAATCCTACCTGGAAACCCTCTGACAGTTTCTTTTATCTGAAAACGCACTGAAATGTTATTTTGAAGGTCCTACTTTATAAATGAAACTTTTATTTAGTCATCCTTATTTTATTTATTTACTTAATTCTTTTCCAAAGCAAAAATAATCGACACCTTAAAAAGTTCAGTCAAGCGTGAAGTACGGTTATTCAATATTATTCACTCATTGTTGGATGTTCTCCTAAATATCTTATTTCCAATTTTAGCAACCTACTTAATTTTTCCCTTCATATTCTTGTTGACTTTTAAAATGAATCTCCTTTCAATGTAAAAAGAATATCTGTGTACTACTGTATAACACACTTCAATGTTTCAAGAGTGACTTTATAAAGTAAATACGTGTATTTTAAAATTTTTGATCATATTTTAACTCTTAAAAAATAAGTTTTTTTGTGTAGGTTTGATAATCGTCATCCCAGTGTTGAAAACGTCAGTCCGACAAAAAGTCCTTTGCTAATTTTACTAAAATCATGGGTGATGTAAATTGTAAACTCGCCCAATGTTAACTTCTCTTAGTGTATAGAATTGTACTAATTATACACTATCCATATTTTTCACACTTTTTTTTATTTGAAACAAAGGAAAGCTTTTGTCTTTAAAATACACCTGTATTGGATAAAAAAAACACACTTAATGTTGATATTTAAAGTCCTAAGTTTAACTTTAAAAAACCCTTTGTATGTGAGAAATTACTTACTGTAAAAAAAAAAAGAAAAAAATCACTACACCATGAAGTAATTTTGCATTCCTCCGAAAAACAAACCATGACCTTTTAATCTTGATATTTGCCTAAGACTCAACCAGCCAAATATGGATACAAATGGGCAACGGGTAGGCGATCCACAAAAAAAAAACTGTTTCTCTAACTAAAATAACAAAATCGTCATTGTTGTATGACTTAAATAAAAACTTTGAAACCTGGGGACAGGAAAATTACTTTACAGTGTAACCCGGATATAAGAGAGTTGTCGGGACCGGAGAAGTCTCTTATATCCGGGTTTGGTCTAATTTATATACATTAACACAGGCTCTAATTTGGGACCAGAGAAAATCTCTCTTATATCCGGGTTACACTGTACGAGGGTAAGTCAAAACAAAAACTATCTTCACTTTATATCTTTTTAATCAACAGTTTGGATGATTTTTGACTTTCCTTTTTATGTGTGTGTACTGTAATGCCGACTGTCTTTCAATATTTCAAGAGTGACTTTACGTGTATTTTAAAATTTTTGATCATATTTTAACTCTTAAAAAAATATGTTTTGTGTAGGTTTGATAATCGTCATCCCAGTGTTGAAAACGTCAGTCCGACAAAAAAAGTCCTTTTCTAATTTTACTAAAATCACGAGGGATGTAAACTCGCCCAATGTTAACGTCTCTTAACACTGCTAGATCTTTTGACAATATTTATGTCCTCAAAAAAAAGTCAAAACGACGGTTATTCCCTTGATACATCTTTTATACACTTTTTGACTCCCTAGGCAGTATTTGTTTTAAAAAGCGAAATAGATAATTTTTATTCAAAACGTCTTTGTTTTCATTGATATTTTTAATAAAATTTGATTCATTGATATTTTTAATAAAATTGTGAATAAAAAAAAAAAAAAAAAAAAAACTGTAAATAAGAATAGTACATTGTAGTTTGCGTAATTTAGACGACAATATATTCATCGCACCTTGTAAAGTAAACAAACGAGAAAATAACAGATATCTCATTAACAGATATATTTACCAAAATTGCACAAAATTATCTTTTAAATACTAAAGAGTAAATTTATTCAATAAAATCGCTATTGGCTTCAACCACGGCCTCCGGACGACTTCCGAATCTCCTGCAACTCTTCTGGACGGTCTCCTTGTTTAAGTTGGTGAACGCTGCCATAATCCATGCCTTCAATTCATCTTTGGTACTACAAGGACTTTTTTTTTTTTTTTTGGTCTCTCACTCAACTACGTCCCGCGTCCTGGGTATGACGTTAACGGTTAAACTGCATCCAACAGCAAGACCTCTGATCAGGAGGTTTTGAGGAGCGTGGAACCACCTCTTAATTGCTGGTGTTCCCAGGTCCACCTTGACCCGGGGTGGTAGCACCTGTTAGGGTCCCAGCTATGGGCAAATAGTGAACTCCTAGTTTTTCCAGCTCTTACGCACGTCCTGGGTATGACAATAAACTACATCCGCGTCCTGGGTATGACGATAAACTACGTTCAACAGCAAGGCCTTAGATAATGTTTTCGGAAAAATATTGTTGCCAGCTATACGTTTAATAGTACTGTATATTTAATATATATATATATATATATATATATATATATATATATTAAAGACATTTTATGTTTAACGTTCTTTTTATAGATACAAGTATTTAAGTAAATGCTCTTGTATCTATAAAAAGAACGTTAAACATAAAAAATGTCTTTAATAAATAAATTTTCGGACTTTGTCCATTTCTTAATATATATATATATATATATATATATTAACTTAATTTGGCATTAAATGACCTACAGTGGTTGATATGCCATAAAACCCAACCAACCAACCATCAACTACGTCCCACACATAACAATCAAAGGGGTTGTAGTCTAGGGAGTTAGTTGGCCAAATGTAAGGGGTGATGTGGTCGCAGAAATTGTCTGTCAGCCACGACTGGGTTCCCCTGCTTGTGTGGCATGTTGAAGAGTCCTGCTGTCAGACATAAGGGCCTACAGCAGCCACTCTCTTGACTCAGGGCAGCACTAACTCCTCAAGGTACTTGATGTAGGCCTCCATGTTGAGTTTGAAGCCCTCACCAACAAATTCAAGAGTTCTTTTCTTATCAGAACGATCGGAGTGGCTTTTCCGAGCTACCGTATCTTCGGATTCACAATTAGACTCATCCAACTTTTTCCAAATCCTTTGCACTGTCCTCAGATTGACACCCAAACACTGAAATGTTCGCCTTGGAGCGTCCGGCGCGAATGCCAAGCATTACAGCATGCCATTTTCAAATTTCTGGCTGAATTAATTGCGTCATGGTGCTCTTTCTCACACAGACGGTGCCCAACTGACCCTACTATACTGTGCAGTCGACAAAATCAAAAACAAACAACGCGCATGCGCGAAATTAAAAATACTAAATGACGACAATTTACTCACTGTACCCTGTATTCTTGTAATTTTTTTTAATAAAAAGGATTCTGGTCAATAATAAATGTCGCATTTTATTTGGTTCACAAATTTTTATAAACTTGTAAATAAACATTGCCGAGAGAGTTAAGTGTATATACACTAACGGTATCAAGACTAAAACCGTACTTTTGACATATCGTTAGCCCTGGTTATGACGATAAACTACAACCGGCAGCAAGGCCTCTGATCGGAAAATAAGAGGTTTAGTGGATCATGGAAGCACCTCTTAATTGCTGTTGTTCCCAGACCCGAGTTGGTAGCACCTGTTAGGGTTAGCTATGAGTAAATAGTGAACCCCCACAAAGAAAAACGAAACACTATGAAAGTATAAAGCTACCAACAAAACATTTTTAAAAGGTTACCAACAATACGCACATACTAACAAATTGTAGCGACTTCATCCAAATCCGTTTAAAATGCTACCAAACAACCAACATAAAAGAACTTTCATGACATTCATTAACCCATGTAATATCCTAAAATTTCTTAAATCAAACTGTAGTGTATTCCAAAATAAACTCAACAAAACTATGGAGAATTGGAATGAGTCCCATAAGATTCCCATGTGACAGATGCTGGCGTAGTAATAATAAATAAAAGAATAACACGCAATTGACTTATTTTGTGCAAATTATATTAACATTACAAATGGGTCCTTGCAAATTTAATCATGTCTGCGACCAAACTCATCTGCTGAGGGTGAGTTGATGTTCTTACCATCTATTGACTCTGTGGTGATAAGAGTGTACAGATGATCCGTTCAGTATGTGATCATTCCTAAGGTTGTACCAAGAGTAAGGAGTTATTAAAAAGGGTAGAAAAGTGCGCCAATCAGCAGCTGTGAGCTGATTGGCTAACCTTAAATTGCCAAGGACAGATAATCATATATCTTATTTATCATAATTCATTTTTAATCTTTTTTTTTTTAAATTACCAACAATTCATATTTATAGTAGAATATATTTTATCCGTAGTTGAAGCCATAAAAATAAAATTGTTCGGTATTAATTAAATAACCCATGCCGCTAAACAAAAATCAACTAACACATCGTTTGGGTTGTTTTTTTTTTGTTTTTTTTTTTCTTTTCTTTTTCGGGCACGAAGGTTAAACATTGCCCATTTTTTGTTTTCTACTATTATTTTCTTACGAAACTTCAATATTCGTTCTGAAAATCTGTAAATTAGTGTGAAT